CTTGGGCTAATTTCCCTATTTACATCTCTGTCCCATACTAAAATGAAAGAGCAAAAATATGGACTATACTTCTTACAAAAATAGGTTAAAATGAGATTATATCCCCTGTATCATTATATTTAACTAAAATACCAATATATTTATAATGACTACACAAGTCTAATTTCCATTTATTTATTTTTATATATTTTGTTTTTCATTGTGTTATTTTGTAAAAGTATTTCAGAATTGCTCATGCACTACAGGACATAGCTGCAATGGGAACCATCTAAATATATTCCTTCCTGGTAGAACACTTAGCAAATCAATAAATGCTGGTTTTTAATAATTATAAACTAGAGCGTTTGCTGATACCACCGGAATTTTGCATCAACAATTACAAGATTATCAAAAACAACTTAAATCAGTAAACCAGGAAGCTCATTTTTTTTCAAAATTTGTGAAAATATAATTCAGCTTCATGGAATTTGGAAAGACAATTTAAAGAACAAGTTACTGAATTTACTGTCCTTTAAAATAAAAAAGCCACCTTCAAATTTATCTTAACGAGCTATGAAATAGAGAAGGAGCCTTCCAACTCATTTTTAGAGTTTTCTATCAATGGTGTGAGAAGGTAGGAGGAGCAGGGTCTGTCTGTCTCCTGATTCATCCTGAGTTCTGCGGGATCATTATTTAGTTTCTTTTTTATATATATATATATTTATTTTTATATGTTTTTGTACATTCAAGCTTAGCACATTGGGTACTAATATTTGAATTCCCCCATCTCGCATTTAAAGTGGATCTGTATAAATGTATTTATGGGAATTTCATAAAGATAAAATCTTTATGGAGAACTTTTATTGGATGTAGGGAAATTTAACTGAAAATCCAACACTGTCAAAAGGTTTCATAAGACAAAGTAGGTACTACTACTAAGGTGGTAAAACTTGACAAATGGCATAAATTATCTCGTCACATTTTGTTAATTTCTACATCATCACTGGCCACGACTGTAGAACTCAGGCATCATCATGCTCCTCATGATCTGTTGAGGCTCCTGTGGTCTATCATAAGTCAGTGATGGACTCCAGAGCATGCACAAGAGTACAGCATGTGTAGATTGTCACTATCATGGTTCTTTGCACAAAGACCTCCTAAAGGTGATGGAGCCACTTTGAGATATACCCAAATTGCAACTTTAATAAAAAATCTTTTTTTAAATTTTTTATTTTTTTTTATTTTGTGGATCATTTGGGTCTTAGTGAATAACTAACTTGTCCAAAATATCTTTTTTATTTAAGAACAACTTTCAGGCCTAATATTAGAGTCTATTCACTAAGCAGCTGGACACCTAACTTTACCCCGGTAACCAATTATTTTTAAAAAGTGCATTGTTATTTTGGATTCATTCAACTTCACATTTTCCGTCTGTAATACACTTCTGGATCTACTTGACTGCCATAAATAATTTCTAACGTATCTCAAAAAACATTTCCTTTAAGAAGTAATAATTTCTCTAAGTAATTCTTGCTAATATTTTTAGATTAGGCAACCAGAAAATTTGCCCATGAGTATGACAGATTTTATACAAAATTAACTCTAATTATAATTATTACTTTAACTTGTAATTGTGTGTAGCACTTTTGTTATTTTTTAATTTTTTTATTTTATCCTACGGTAAAGACATGTCATAAAATTTTTGATTAAAATTAAAGCAATTAGTATTAGTTAACTTCAATGAGAAACCTGAAACTACAGCAAATAATTGGGCTAATTTAAAGATCTCCATAGAATTGAATGCTAGAATGTTATCTGTGAGCACTTGCAGTCTTGTTTCGTAGAAAAAAAAAAAGAAAAGCTGATTATTTTTGAAAGTGCTTAGGTCCCACTGTTTTTATCAAGATTATTATATCACCACTCCTACTGCGAGTGTACATAAGCAATTACAGAAAAATAAACACAGCTTAAATGTTTTTTGTTAAAATGCACACCATGGGAGATTTTCATTTGCTAAGGAACTCATCTATCATTTGAAATGCTAAGTGTTTGTTCTTAAAGCAAAAAATTCTGCCTAGTTCCAGGAACAAATCAAGTTGTTTCTTTTTGATTGAAAGTAAAGATCTATTTGACAACTCAGTTCTACAAAAACAAGTAAAATAACTTGGGCATCATTGGGCAGTAGTGATGTCCCGAACGGTTCGCCGAACGGTTCACCGAACGGTTCGCCACAGATGGCGAACATAAACATAAACTTTGACCCTGTACCTCACAGTCAGCAGACACATTCCAGCCAATCAGCAGCAGATCCTCCCTCCCAGAACCTCCCACCTCCTGGACATCTCACTAAGAATGCAGCTTCACAATGAATGTAAAATGGATGCTGTCCAGGAGGTGAAAGGGTCTGGGAGGGAGGGTCTGCTGCTGATTGGCTGGAATGTGTCTGCTGACTGTGAGGTACAGGGTCAAAGTTTACTCAATGATGACATAGGGGGCGGACCGAACAGCGCATATGTTAGCCGTCAGTGGCAAACTGTTCGGCAAACCGTTCGGGACATCACTATTGGGCAGTGAGTTGCCATAGTTTGATTTTGAGACGTACTGACATAGTCAAGGTCATAACTACATATACTATTATTACCACTTTCACGTTAACAGTTACTGATTCCATATTGCTATATTCTGGAATTTAAGTAAATTTAGCAAATTTAAAAAATGGAATATACATTTTGCCTAAAGAATAGTTTATTTACAAAATTGCCAATAGGAATAACAGGAGACATGACAAGGGAATTGTTGGAAAAAATAGCTAAGGTTTAGAAAAGGTTTTCAGACAGACGATTATGGGTGAAAATGGGAATTTGCTTGTTATTGGTCACACCGTTGTGGCATCCATGTATAAAATCATTTTGCAGAATCATCCAGAACTAGTATTGGCATGAACATTAAAATATGCATCTTCTTATGAATTGTCATTTTTTTTTTCTTATTGGTTTATATATGTTTAATTGTTTATTTTTATAATTGTCTATCATTTTTTAATTTATTTTATTGTATTGACTGTTTTAGTGGATGGTTGTCTGAGCAGCAAGTTATAGGTATGTAGGTATTTTTTAAAAATTATTATTATTATTTATCATAGGAGCGGCTAGGTAAAGTCTAGACATGTCTCTGGTAATGATGGGAGGGGTTATATTAGATGGTATGAGGCTTACGGACCTCTAGCACACGGGTAGAGTTTTTATATCAGTCTTTACTTAGTACCACAAATATTAGATATGGAGAGTGATATTATCAAGGTCAGAGAACCTTTGGCACTTGGCATCTGTGGGCACTTGAGCATTCAAACGATCAATACATTTAAAAGGAAAAGGTGAGCACTTTACATCAAAGTCTTTCTTAAGGACCTCTATTTACTCAGGTTATGGGGCAAGGACCTTTGTACCAGTTCTAAAAAAAAGTTTTGGGTTTTTTTAGTCATGGAGGTAACTCAGTCTGTTAATTTGGGGGACCACAAAATAATAAGAGCGCCATCAACTGTTTTTTTTCCAAATATTGCTAATAATTGGAATAACATAAAAATATGATACAGGTCAAGCAAGTTGGTGCTGGCAAAATGAAACAACATAAATGGTGTTAAGAGATCTGGAGAAATTTCTGAATAAATTAGATAAAAGTCATACCGTGCATTAGGGATTGTTAATTTCTGACATTTTTTAAAAGATTTGAAAAGTATAATCTGTCTCTTGAAATAACAGCAGTTTATGTTATACGCTATGATAGATATACCATGTAATATAAACTACTGTATATGTACAATATAGAAGAAATATCTGAATAAATAAAATCCATTAAAAAAAAATTGATTTTTTTTAGAACATGTTGAATTATTCAGCCGATTCAGAGCAAGAATCGTTGCCAAACAAAAGATACATTTAAAGACAAAGATATGGTTTGCAACTTTGTTTCTACTTTAGAGAATACTTAGCACAATGTGTTAATAAAGCAAGCTTCATGACCTAGATTTACAAAGAAATATAAAGCAAATTAGCTGCTTCTTATGAGAAATATATAAATAAAAAAAGAAATGGAAAAAAATATAATGCATAATGGTGGTAGATTTACACAGCAGAGCTCCTGGGTCAATTTAGGAGATAAAATGATTTTTGATTTGCCAGCCAGAGCTTCAGGTATTTGCTCAATCTTTGTGATTTTAGAACTTTTTTCATCTCAGCAGGAATCTAATAAACCTCTGATCCCAAAACATAAACAGCAGAAATCAAAATTAATGGAAAAGGATGAAAACACGGCCGAAATCAAAGCAAACGCTGCGGCAAAAATTGTGGCTTTTTCCTATGAGATCTTGTTTACATCTTAAACCTCATCCCAGGCTTTGCAAACAATTTATTCTCCTTATTAAAAAAAGGACATATGAGCATGATAATAATGCCATCTGAATATTTAGCAGTTATATGACCTTTGCTTTGCCCTAAATTTAAAGAAACTCTGGTAGGTCATGTTATAATTTAATAATTATCTTATGGCTGTAACAAGTGAATGACTATAGCTACTTCTAAAATGCAGCAAAACAGATTAGGATTATCTATATAATTAAAGGGACACTATAGGCACCCAGACCGTTCATTGAAGTGGTCTGGGTGCAGGGTCCCAGGTTCCTTAACAGTGAGCCACTAAAAGACAGCCACTAGAGGGACTTCCAGGCTGTTAGGTGACTTTTGGTCACCTAACTAACATTGAACATCTTCACACAATGCATAGGGATGTCCAGCGTCACCCAAAACCCCATAGGAAAGCATTGAATAATGCTTTCCTATGGGAAATCCTAATGCAAATGCAGCCATTGCTGTGCATGCAAATTAGATCACCCCCGCAGCTTGACTTTGGCAGGGGAGAATAGAAGGCAGACTCGAGTCAGCACCGAGGGACATCAGTGCTAGACCCAGGTAAGTGACAGAAGAGGTTTTTAATCCCTTCTGCACCACTGTGTCACGATATCTTACCTTAGTCCCGCGGGCCAGCAGGGAGGTGCTCTGGTTGCCGACTCTTCCGGGCGTCGCCATGTCACATGCTGGTCGTTCCACACACGCTTCCTGCCAATGTCATAGCAGCGATGCTATGAAAATTCTAAGTATTCCACACTGCCTGACGTTTTAGGGGCGTGGATTTAAAGCAAAAGACACTCCCCTGTAAAGAGCACATTTTGCTTTAGTTCAGTGCCCAATTGTAGTTCACTAGTTGTTCCCTCTAGTGCTATACTGATTCCTGTCTGTGTTATTTGGTATTTGGCTTGTATATTATTGACTATTCTGCTTTCTGGCATCCTGACTCGGCTCGTTTTCTCGTTTATCCTGTTCTCTGGTTTCCTGACTCGCGCATTCATTATCGTTATCCTGATCTCTGGTTTCCTGACTCGCGCATTCATTATCGTTATCCTGATCTCTGGTTTCCTGACTCGCGCATTCATTATCGTTATCCTGATCTCTGGTTTCCTGACTCGCGCATTCATTATCGTTATCCTGATCTCTGGTTTCCTGACTCGCGCATTCATTATAGTTATCCTGATCTCTGGTTTCCTGACTCGCGCATTCATTATCGTTATCCTGATCTCTGGTTTCCTGACTCGCGCATTCATTATCGTTATCCTGTTCTCTGGTTTCCTGACTCGTGCATTCATTATCGTTATCCTGTTCTCTGGTTTCCTGACTCGCGCATTCATTATCGTTATCCTGATCTCTGGTTTCCTTACTCGTGCATTCATTATCGTTATCCTGATCTCTGGTTTCCTGACTCGCGCATTCATTATCATTATCCTGTTCTCTGGTTTCCTGACTCGTGCATTCATTATCGTTATCCTGTTCTCTGGTTTCCTGACTCGTGCATTCATTATCGTTATCCTGATCTCTGGTTTCCTGACTTGCGCATTCATTATCGTTATCCTGTTCTCTGGTTTCCTGACTCGTGCATTCATTATCGTTATCCTGTTCTCTGGTTTCCTGACTCGCGCATTCATTATCGTTATCCTGATCTCTGGTTTCCTTACTCGTGCATTCATTATCGTTATCCTGATCTCTGGTTTCCTGACTCGCGTATTCATTATCGTTATCCTGATCTCTGGTGTCCTGACTCGCGCATTCATTATCGTTATCCGGATCTCTGGTTTCCTGACTCGTGCATTCATTATCGTTATCCTGATCTCTGGTTTCCTGACTCGCGCATTCATTATCGTTATCCTGATCTCTGGTTTCCTTACTCGTGCATTCATTATCGTTATCCTGATCTCTGGTTTCCTGACTCGTGCATTCATTATCGTTATCCTGATCTCTGGTTTTCCTAGACTTTGGCTATTCCTCGAATATTCTCTCACTATCAAGGTTATACCTGGCCATTTTAAGGTCTAGTAATACGTTTTCTAGTTTGGGTTACATTCTGCGTGTTGGGGTCACTTTGTCATGACACACGGGAGGCGGCATTGATGGAGGGGGAAGTTATAGTGCCAGGAAAATGAATTTGTTTTACTTGCACTATAGTTTCCCTTTAAGGCAAAGGGTTCAAGTGGTGTACTTGCACATTTTCACCACTAGATGGCTACTATTCTAGCACTTATGTGTGTTAATTACATATTTGAGATATCTATCAAAAAATAATATGTAGGATGAATAGTAGCATTGGATATTGGATGTTCCCATGTTATTGTAATGGCTCACCAATGCGTGGATCAGACTCATCATATTCATCAAATATTCACAGGGGTACGGTAAATAGATTACTGTATCAGCACCATTTTTCCTAGGAAATGGACTCTCTGACACTCGAAAAAAATGTATACATTATGTTCTAATAATGGTTATGTGGGCTAAGGCTAAATTTAAAGAATACAATAATATAGTAACATAAGATAATAGAATAACGTGGATGGAAGTCTCGTCACAAAATGTAAAGAAGAACAGATCTTAACAATGACTTATCAGTAATGACAGTTCTGCCACTAATGTGGAGCACAAATAAAACTATTAACAGAATTTTGTACTTTTGCTTATTAAGTTCCACTAAAGTTCTGTCATTTTAACCCTGCAATGTAAAATATTGTTGTTTTGTAGAAACCACAATGTCTACATTATAGGGTTAAAGACACCTCTAGTGGCAGTTTTCCTTAAATCCACTTGAGTCTTTTTAACACCAACAGCCAAGTAATACTCAGTCATGTGACCAATGCAGCTCGTAGGAAAGAATTGAATTCCATTATTTCCAAGGTGAAGCATTTGGACGTCCCCTCATCAGTCCCAAATGCTAATTTATGAGAAGTGTTGGATCGGACATGGTGGCAGTTCCAAGGGAGTCTTGACGATGGAGAATTTGGCATCTGTGATCAGCACGAAAAACATGCTGATGACAGATGACCAGTAACACCATAGCTCCTCTCTGCACCGCCCAAGTCCTCCCCTGAGCCAATCCACCCTGACATTTCTTGTTCTGCAGTGACAGGAAGTAACATCGGCAGTGGAGGAGAACATAATCTAGGTGTTGGAACATAGATACATTTTCCCTTATTTATTTACTTGTTAGTTTGTTTTACTTTTTTTTTGTGTGTGTTTGGTCTTCTATTAATATATATATATATTTTTTTTATTTGCAGTAACCTTTTTAATTAGAAATTGATTTGGAATATTTGAACAATGAAGACAACAACTACAAATTTCTTATTTATACTACAATGCCCCCCTTTTTTTTTTCTTATCATCACATTTTATATGCTCTTTCATTTATATAATACTGAGACAGCTGTAATGGTATACTGTACTATTCAAGACTTTTTGTAGCACAGTAAAAAAAAAAGAAAATGCTTAAAAAAATTCTCAACTTTTTTTGACACATCATCTGTGACCAAATTTCTAACAATAATTAGGTCAGTGTTATTTTTTGGGGACAGCTGTCGCACTGGTGATTTTTTTTAATCATTTCATATGTGGGCAAACACTAAATGTGTCACAGTTACAGCATTACTTTCCTCACTGAAAGCTTTCATACTTCGCTTCTCCTGTCACCGTGCCTTCTGCCACTGCAGGCGCAGAAAAGTTGTCACTTCTCATTTGGCATATACCATGCTGGGGATGCTTAACAGGGCTTTTTTTTTTGCTTCTTTTTCTATAAATGATAAGAAAATGATTTGCTACTTAGTAGCAAGCAGAAAGAGTGATCATCAAATTATAGGAATTTAGCCTCAAATTCAGGTGATAACTATGGCATTTATTTAATTTTTTTTTTTCTGATGAATTATTTTCTGGATTATCTTTTTAAATATGCATAACACTTTTGATAAAGCATGCCTACCAACTGTCCTTATTTAAGGAAGGGGAGTCTTTATTTTGGGCCCTAATCACTCTATCCTCAGAGTATAACAGAGCTACGCAGCAATAATACTCCCAGTAATGTGTCTGAGTGTATAACAGAGCTCCACAGCAATAATACTCCCAGTAATGTGTCTGAGTGTATAACAGAGCTCCACAGCAATAATACTCCCAGTAATGTGTCTGAGTGTATAACAGAGCTCCACAGCAATAATACTCAAAGTAATGTTTCTGATTGTATAACAGAGCTCAACAGCAATAATACTCTCAGTAATGTGTCTGAGTGTATAACAGAGCTCCACAGCAATAATACTCCCAGTAATGTGGAAAGAATAGGGGAGGAGGAGTCTGCGCTAGATAGCAAAAGTAGGAGCTGCAACCCTCAAAAGGGAATCCCTCAAGAACCCTAATAAAATAGTAGAGAAAAAAAAAATAAAACATGCGAAACCCAACGAAACCAAAGCCGGACGGAGTGACCTATCCTCACAGAATATCCATTAGCGGGGATTATACCGCTAAGTGCCTTACAACTAAGAGCTGGTCCTAAGCTCCAACAAATGTGAGTTTACCATTCTCCACTTTTATTCAATTTCGCTAATCCTCTCAGTACATACTATACCATTGGAAGTGTGTTTATGTTCTTATCTTTCATATACGGTTCCCTGGAAATTCAGAAGGATTAACCTTTGAGGACTGTACATATACAGCTCATCCACATAACAGTGAGATGTCTTTTATGCATATTATTGGACTTTTAAAGTTTTAAGCTTTACCACTACTAGAGCACGGACTCTGTTTCACACTATCTTATTGTATTTTTACTGCATATTTTTTATTGTATATTTTTATCCTATTATTATTTTATACAATTTTATATATTTTATCTGTATCCAGCGCAGCCCTTCACCCCTTCCTTTTTTTTACTCCCAGTAATGTGTCTGAGTGTATAACAGAGCTCCACAGCAATAATACTCCCAGTAATGTGTCTGAGTGTATAACAGAGCTCCACAGTAATAATATTCCCAGTAATGTGTCCAAGTGTATAACAGAAGAGCTCCACAGCAATAATACTCCCAGTAATGTGTCTGAGTGTATAACAGAGCTCCACAGCAATAATACTCCCAGTAATGCGTCTGATTGCATAACAGAGCTCAACCGCAATAATACTCTCAGTAATGTGTCTGAGTGTATAACACATGGTTTATCTTGTGCCACACTGTCAGTAAGGCCATCCAACTCAACTCAGACGAATCGGACAAACATTTGGGGTGCACAAAGGTACAAACAACAAAGTATTCAAAGAATTAAAAGTATTACATATCCACAGTTAACAGTCATGCAGTCATCACCATGTAATGTGTTTTGTTGCTGTAGGTGGTTAATCACAAGTGTCACCACATAGTCCTTGAATCAATCAGACATAATGATTATGACACTTAAGATGTCAGGAATTTCTCCTTTCACACTGCATACATTGTCAAAAATCTTGACATTGAAATTAGGACATTACTTGCTTTTTATTGGTTAGCATTATCAGTTCATTAATAGAACTATACAAAGGACAAGAGGTTAACCTCTGAAACAAAAAAAGGAGATTTTACCTAGAGCAAATGAACCAGTTCTTTAAAGTATAAAAAGGTAAAGTTACCTTCTGCCACTCAATGCTAATCTTTAGTGTCCAGTTATGCAGTTGTAGATGTGATCTTGACAACAAAGCTGACAACTGAACTGCAAGTCTCATAATCCTGTGCTCCAATCAGAAGATTGTGACCAGAGAACTTTGATTTCTGCTTGTCAGTCCCTCCCTTCCACAGCTCAGACTCCATAAACCAGAATGTGAGTCTGCAGCCACGCTACTTAAAAAGCAAACCTTATGACTGATTAAGTAATGATTTGTAACTCTCTTAAATGATTATCTCTTGTCTGGGGAGGATCCTGTAGTATGTTCTGGAATAAAATGTTTCATGATAACTGTTGCACTGAATGATCTTATTTATGGACCCTGGGCTTGTTGCTCCCATACTCCACTATTCTCCACGCCTGCTATTTTCGAGTGCCACTTATAATGTCACGTTTGTTGTTATATGGAATGCTTTGTGCTAAGTGGTAGAAAGTAATTTTTTACGAACTAATATCACTGACAAATCAAACAAGATGTTACACTCAAGAGGTTCATTCCTCGCTCTCAGACTACTAAGGAATAAAAACATTCCATTACAATACCTGATGGACTCTGCTCTGGTTAAATAGAATGTTCAGCTGGCCCAATGCCAGTTTAATCTCTTTAAATGCTGCAAACAAAATGAGGATCAGTTATTTTCAAGTCCATTTGCTAATTTGGTATAGAGTGCATTTCTTGAGGTTACAACATGGCTATGGAAGTGAAGCGTGGTATCAAATACTCCAAGGTTATTAGCGGTATAAGAAAAGGTGTGAACGTTGTCATTGCACAATCTTATTACCCCCAGTCAGCCACAGAATGTTTGCTACTATTGCTTCACTTTTACATTAAATATCAAATCACTGACCTTTCTATATTAAAGATTCACATTTCTCCCAACATTGGGAAGTTTAGAATAAGAAAGGGTGGACAGGTCTTCATTTGGACATTGCAAGTGACGCGACTTGTGTCACTGGTGACACCAATGATGGGCGTGCATGCACACTGCCAGTGCCTATCTGTGACATCAAGCATGCCAGGCTGACAGACAGACTCCCTGATGGCCCCCAACATATAAGACAATGAGAATGTACCTAGTACATACACATGTGCGTCGCGGGGTTAATCAGGGGTCAGATCGCAGCGCGATTAGCCT